GGGGAAACAACTCTCATGGAATTCCGACCGATGAGAAAATTTACGTCATATTTAATTTATATTAATGAAATCTCTTCCGAAGAACAGGAGAAAACTTTTTCTCAGGCAAGTCACCATCACTTTTTTCCTAATTCTTTAATTTTTTTTTTTAATAAAAAATATATAACTCCAGGTTAGCGTGTAGAGTAGTATGTATCTCGCATCAATCAGATCGCCGCATTTGGGTTATGTATCTCACACCAATCAGATTGCCGTATTAGATTGTCCCATCTCAACCCGCCCGGCGAAAAAGAAAAATTTTGCATGCTACGCATGCCTATGTTTTATTTCGTGTTGGACTTCACCGAATTGGAGGGGCTGTTCGTAGGCGAACAGTTTTTAGACAAATGAAACGTGCAACATCAGCTCCAAAAAAAAATCATAACCATTAAAACTACAATTTTCTCGATAGCGATGGGTTTAAAAACTCCTATTTTCCACGAATCCACTTGCCAAGTTGTTATAAGACAGTTTGTCATCGGACAGTTCAATAAGCCAATCACATTCAAAGTTGTTACTTCTTGGAGCTATTACTTCTGATAGTGATACACAGTGATACACAGTGATACACAGCTCTGTTTTGTAGTTGCCGTTACTCACCGCTGCGCGCAATAAATAGCTCCCCGAAACGGTATCTGTGTAGCAAATAACCGGCAGAATGAGGGAATTGTACACACATTGATCAGCTTTGTAAGAAGTCAGGCGTGACTGAAAGCGGCCGAGCAAGCTTAGGCTTGTGTTGACCTAAGTGAGCACTTTGTTCAGAGATCTTCACCCATCAATACAGCTACATAGCAAAACTTGGCAACCCTTTCAATTTCCATGCTGTGCGTTTAGATGTTAAATTCAGTCGAGCCTGCAAGCTTCTGTTCTCTCCAAATAGAATACATTTGGTCTTGCTCAGGTTTTGTAGTAGCTTGCTATTGCTCATCCATTGCTCCACCCTGGCACGATTTCCTTAAATCGTCGTTTGGACATTATCGGAACCTAAAGTAGCAGCGTATGTTTGCCCTTGCATTCTGAGATGTCTAAGATGTAGTTTGTGAGATACAAAATAGCAGATTTAGTGTTTCATTTTCAGATTTCATAATTTCTTACGTCTTCCAGCACATCAATATCTGCCGTTGATTAAAACCAACATCATCAACAAATAAAATGAACTGAAGTAAACTAGGCAATTACTGTATGTGATTCATATGTAAGAAACCTCTTCGGCCTTTGCTTCCTACCTTCGGCAAGGCACACAGACTCCCGGAGCTGAACTGCCGATGCCCCGTGAGTATGCAAATGTAGAGTCTAGTTTCATCATAGTCATGATCAATGAACTGGTAACTTTGAGTTCATTATCATTCTGTAATACATCAACAAACGCCAATTTATCCGTAGTCTTTGATAGGCGAGTTATTTGTATCGACTTTGATTGTCACTCTCAGATCATAATAAAAGTTTTGATGTTAGTTATGTCAATCTCTGTGGCCGCTTGTTCGAAGGTTGGATAACGCTATCCATTGGAAAATCGCTAGATAGCGCAGTACGTTTTCTTAATAGTTATCCGCTGGATAGTGATTTATCTGTTGGATAGTTTTTTATCCGTTGGACAGCGTTATCAACTCTTCGAACAACTGTGCCCTGATGTGTAGTCCAACCTTCAGAACTCGTAAACAATCAAAGCACAGTGAACAGTTCAGTGTTGTACTCTTTGAAGGGAAACGATTTTAGTTGAGAGCATTCGCTAGAAATAATATCGACAGGAAATTCCGGATCTAATGGAAGTTATTTGGGATACAGAGGTTTTTTTTAAGTGTACAGTAGTTGTATCGTTGGTCATTTCATCAGGTAATTTAACAGATCTGTTTCACTTGCATAAATTAGACTCTGCATTGGCTTGCAAATTCAGCGATTAACGGAAGTTGTTTGGGATACAGAGGTTCTTTGTTTAGTGTAGAGTAGTTTTATCGTCATGTTTTCATTTCATCAGGTTATTCAACGGATCTGTTTCACATGCATAAATTACCCTCTGCATTGGCTTGCAAATTCAGAGATTAGCTGAAACACATTTTACGTAGTTGGGAAAGGCAGGTCTCGAGGTAAGGATTGCAGCTGAACAAATTATCTGCGATTCCTTCGAACCGCTTTAGTTGTGGATATGTGGATATGTTTATTAAGACCTCTTGCAGTATAAATAACTGAATTACAGGTCTGGCCAGCAAACAATAATAAACCAATAACACAAAATAAATAGCTAAGGAAAAATTGATTGTATTAGCAACCAACAAGCATATAATGGCAAAATGATGGCGAAACTAGTCATGTGCAAAGCATAAAGCGTATTTGTTTGAGATAAAGTTCTTAAACCCGTTGGTCGAAGTGCCTTGGATATTTCAATTTCTTTCTCTAGGTCTTAATGCGTAATTATATTGAATATCTACTATGCCACCATTGATCATTATGGGGGAACAGAATGACAAATTGTTTAGCATAAATTGAAATAATGGGATATTCTTCAATTTCTAGTGGCAAAGATACAGACTAGATTGACTGGCCCTCAAGTCACAATTTTGAAAGCCGAAAGAGTACGATTTTCTTCTAGAACTTTGATCAAGATAATCGGCTTTGCTGAAGCATATTCTAGTAAGTAATTTGTTGTTTATTTGTACATGGTCAATCAACCCAAGTATTTCATAAGAATGGATATTTCACCTCTCTATATAATTAGTTGTTTACGCAATCGACAGCTTCTGCAAGGTGTTGTATTGTGGGAGCTTTGGGTACCGAGGCAGCGAAATGAGCTCCTGGGAGGGATTGAGGGAGGTTTGTTTCTCTTAAAGCTACAAGGGTAATTACTATCCAGAATGGTTAGTTTTACAGCCATTGTGCGTGAGGCGTATTTGTATTTGACATTAAAAATATTACGAAAGATTGAAAAGGAACCAAAAGCTAAATTTTCAGAAGAATTTAACCTATTATTGACTTCGGAATCGATGTGAAGCTTCGCTACGCTAAGATATAGCCAGAGGAAACATTTGTTACCACAAGGCTCGTTTTGCTGGATGATTGATTTTTTAATATGTTTGGGAGCGACTCCGTTACAGAAATGAAAGATTTCATATTTGCTGTGAAAAAACAAATCACAATTTGAATTACTATAATGATAGGCTTACCTTGTGAGTTCTTATATACACATATTATTTCCAAGGTTTTTTTTCTTGTGAATTTTTTTATTCGTTCCAAAACATTTCAAAAAGAAAAAATGGTCGCTTCTTTTGGTTTGATACCTACTATTGTCCATGTTAAGTTATTCATGTTTTCATGTAACGCAATAAGGAGCTTCCTTTACGCAA